TCCAGGGGCCAGGTTAGCAGAAACAAGAGTCCAGCAGAGTTGTCATGCTCACAACTCAAGGAACTGGTTCTCAGATTGGTTGTTTTCCATAAGCCTTAGCTGGCTGTGGGGTTCAACATCAGAGGAAGCAGCCAGCAGCCATTTGCTTACAAGACGCAATGGAACATCTAGGCTGCAAGCAGAGGAAGAGATCAGAGAGAGCTGGAGGCTGAACGCTCTCACTCCCTAGGTGTATGAGTGGATGGTGAATGCGATTGGAGCATAAGGGACCAGTAGCCTCTCCCCCATCCCAGAGAAAAGGGAACCCCTACCTTGTTGTGCCATCTGAGGACATTTCCAAATCCCCCTGTCCCAAGCCTTTCCTTCATCTCCCAGGGACCACACGTCTGGATTTGCAGGGGAGGCCGGCTCATTGCGGTGAATGCCTGTGGCTAAAGGACGAGAAGGGAAGGGACAGAGACCCTGTTATTAACTTTCCTGTAAGTGAGTTAGTTACTTTGGCAACACACGAAGAGGGCTGAAGACATCACACCAGGGCCCATCTGCCCGGGGGGAGGGGAGGCTACCGGGGGTCACAGACCCAGGCGCGGGGCAGTTCGGCCTTGGCCCACGGGATAAAGGAGCGGCCCAGGAGTCCGGGTCTCCGCTCCGAGGGGAAGAGCGGCCGGGCCCGGCGCGGCCGCCCCCGGCGCCGCCCCGCCTGCCCGAGGGGGGTGAGCCGGGCTCCGCGGCGCCCCTCACCTGCCGCGGGACGAGCCTGGCGCTGCCGGGTCTCGGGCCCAGGCTCCGGCGGCCGACCCCGCCCGCGGGACTCAGCAGCAGCCTGGCACCAAGGCCGCAGCAGCGCGCTTCCGCCAGCGCTTCCGGCTCTGACCTCACACGACACGTGGTGCCGCCAGGCGGCGCCCCCTGCCGGCCGCCGGGAAGCACGGCAGCGCTGCGCCAGGGCAGGTGGGAGCAGGGATCGCAGCCCCCCGTGGGGACAGCGCTGGCTGCAGCTCCGCTCCTAGGCGCGGACGCGGTTCCGAACTGCAGGCGGCTGTACTGCGATTGCTCTGGCGTTAAAGGCGGGGGTGTCACCAACGAAGCTGCAAATCCGTAGGGCGTTTGGCCTGAGGGGGAGAATGGAGAAAAAGCTTTCCAGCGACTGGGAGGCTACTAGCTATAGCACTGGCAACAGGATTAAAACCCCAAGTCAATAGGACTACTGATCTACGTAAATGCTTGCCCCATCGGGGCCTTCATAGACAAAATGGCAGGGTTTGCAGACACCACTTCAGTTCCAAAGAGTTATTTTTGGCTTTGCTTGATTGAATAACATTTTCTGTTTCTACTGTAATGGGAGCTGCCGCGTACAAAGATAACAAGGTGAGTGAGGTAGGAGGGCACCCCAAGTCAAGTGCAATGCACCACTCCTTGCACACTCTACCTTGTACTTCATTCAAGCTCTCTTGGCTCTAGCAATTTTTCTGCAGGCATGAGTTCGCCCCTCCCCCAGGAAAGCTGGGACAAGCTGTTTAAGTAAATAGAATCATTTTGGTACCACTGGTTTCTCTCAAATGAGAGCTAATGGGACAGTAAAGAATGTCTTACCCAATGGCCAACACACTCCTTGTCACTGCCTGCTCTTTCCCACACTCTCCCTGCTTCTCATCACAATCTCTCCCTTCCCTGGCTCTTTTCTCCCCCCTCACCTTATCCATCTCTCCCTCCCACCCACTGTGCTCCACAACTCAGAACATTGTGACAACTCACCCAGAGATTGGCAGAGATGCTTTTCAAAAGCCTGGTGAGCTCGGAGAATAGGAAAGACAGGCACCTGAGTCACAGTTTCTCTTCGCTGCAGAGCCAATCATTTGTTTATCTTGTTCACACCCTGCAGCAAGGAGGAAGGAAGTTCAGCTCTGAAGCACCTATCCTTTTTAAAATTCTCTGAAATTAGGGATTACAGCAGACCTCAGGGATCAAGAGCTTTGTTTTTCTCACTAGTACCCTCCTAGACAATTGCTAAGATCTGACTCTTGAAAACTGTCATTTCTCATCTGCCACCTAAGATAAGTGAATTCTACACATAGCCACGCAGGTAAACAGGACAGGGGTCTCTGACTGACTGACATACATACACATCTGCCTCAGGCATGTGAAAGGGGATGGCTGGTTATGAAACATCATCAATCCCTTCAGTACTCTGAATCCACCGGGCAATCAGGAAAGGCTTGAGTTATAGTAATGGTGGGTACAATATTCATAGATAATACTCACCTATCTCACAGGGTTGCTGGGAGGGTTAACTAGTTAATATTTGAAAAGTGCTTTGGAAATGTGAAGTGCTCCCTCAGATTAATAGATTACTATTGTTAGTTAATGGATTAGAAGGGTCTAGCACCGATAGCTCCAGATATTTAACATTTTGATTATTTGACACAATGGCATCCACATACTAATGGGATTTTAAAATTGGAGCACAGCAGTAGCCCTACCTTATCCGGAATAGGCCAACGAGTGGGAGTACCAAGTTCACCAAATGGGTTAGGCTCAACCCTGCCAAGGTCCCATGATCTGAGGTTAGGAGCAGGTCATTAATTACCCAGAAGAGGGCAGAGTCACAGTGCTATGAATGGGCCATAAACCAGACCAAGCACATTCCAGGAGAGAAGATTTAATCAAGAACCCTACCGCAGGTAGATTAGAGAGGTTGCTGATGGGGGCAATTATACATATATGGCTGATGTGCTCCAGTGAGAAGGTGCTTTTGTTCAGAGGAGATGAGGTCAGTGAGTTTGATAGAGAAGGGAAGGGAGATGTGGAGCAAATGGGCTGCCCAGAGAGAGTGTAGAATTTATGCTTACTTCTCAGGCCTTGGCTACACTTGCAGATGTACAGCGCTGTGAGTTAAACCTGACTTCATGCAGCTGAGTAGGGAGAGCGCTGCAGTCTGTCCACACTGACAGCTGCCCAGCGCACTATCGTGGCCACATTTGCAGTAATTGCAGCGCTGTTGGGAGCAGTGCATTATGGGCAGCTATCCCACAGAGCACCTTTTCCCATTCTGGCGCCGTGGGTTGTGGGAAGGGGGCGTGGGTGCAGGGGATTCTGGGTCCTGTCCCAATGCCCCGTGATGCATCGCTTCGCATCCCAGAAATCCCTTTGTTTCCGTCCACCTTTGGCGTCATCTTTCAACGGTTTCTGTGCAGCGCGATCTGTCTGCGGGAAATGGAGTCCGAACTGCTGAGGCGTATGCTGACGAGTCTCGCCAGCACGTCACGTTTGGCTATCAAACTATTCCTTAAGATCCAAAGTGACAGTGAGAGTGAGGGTGAGGATTCCGACGATGCTATCGAGACACGTAACGCGTACGACACGAAATTGCTTGTGGCATTCACGGACATGCTTAGCATCGTGGAACGCCGCTTTTGGGTTCGGGAAACAAGCACCGAGTGGTGGGATCACATCGTCATGGAAGTCTGGGATGACGAGCT